GCCACCCCTGGGGGGCTGCCCCCAGCCGCCGCCGTGGCCGCCGCTGCCGCCACCGCCAAGATCACAGCACAGGTGAGCACACAGGGACAGGGAGCACTCACACCACAGGCTGAGAACACAGGCATAGGGAGAACACACAGCACAGGTGAGAACACACAGGTACAGGCAGCACACAGCACAGGTGAGAACACACTGCATGGGTGAGAACACAGGTACAAGGAGCACACACACCACTGGTGGGAACACACAGGTACAGGAGCACACAGCACAAGAGAGAACACACAGGTACAGGGGGCACACACAGCACCGGCGGGTGAGAACACACACAAGCACAGGAGCACACACAGCACAGGTGAGAACACAAGCACAGGAGCACACACAGCACAGGTGAGAACACAAGCACAGGAGCACACACTGCACAGGTGAGAACGCACACAGGCACAGGAGCACACACAGGTACAGTACAGGGAACACACACAGGCACAGCACAGGTGAGCATTCAGGTACAGGGAGCACACACAGGTACAGGGAGCACACACACCACAGGTGAGCACACACACCACAGGTGAGCACACACACCACAGGTGAGCACACAGGTACAGGGAGCACACACACTGCACAGGTGAGAACACACAGGTACAGCACAGGGAGCACACACAGGTACAGGGAGCACACAGCCAGAAGAGTCACCTCACAGACACAGCAGAGGTGATGGATCTGATGTTGGGCAGGAATTCCTCCCTGGGAGGTGCTGAGGCTCTGGTACAGGTTGCCCAGAGCAGCTGTGGCTTCTCCATCCCTGGGAGTGTTCCAGGCCAGGTTGGATGGGGTTGGAGCCACCTGGGCTGGTGGGAGGGGTCCCTGGGTCACCTTATGTCCCTCCCAGCCGTTCCAGGGTTCAGTGGCTCAGCAGTTGGTTGACACCTCCACCACCAGGAGAGCTGGGAATGGCCCATCCCAGCAGGCAGTGTGTCCCTGGGCTCTGGGAATGTTGCTCCAGGTGTCCTTGTGTCCCTGGGCTCTGGGAATGTTGCTCCAGGTGTCCTTGTGTCCTGGGGCTCTGGGAATGTTGCTCTGGGTGTCCGTGTGTCCCGAGGCTCTGGGAATGCCACTCGGGCTGTCCATGTGTCCCGTGGGTGTCTGTGTGTCCCGGGGCTCTGGGAATGCTGCTCTGGCTGTCTGTGTGTCCCCAGGTGTCCGTGTGTCCCCAGTGTGTCCCTAGGCTCTGGGAATGCTGCTCCCAGCTGTCTGTGTGTCCCCAGTGTGTCCGTGTGTCCCCAGGCTCTGGGAATGCCACTCCGGCTGTCCATGTGTCCCTGGTGTCCATGTGTCCCCAGGCTCTGGGAATGCTACTCCCGGCTGTCCGTGTGTCCCCGGTGTCCATGTGTCCCCAGGCTCTGGGCATGTCACTCTGGCTGTCCGTGTG